AGGAGCATTGTTATAGTAAGGGTTAGGGTAGGGGTGAAGGGTATGCATTGTGGCTAAAAATACAAATAAACAATGTGTCTGTGTTGCCTAATTAAAAATAGCCCCTTTCTGACAGCCACAGATGGGTACAGTTCGTGGTGTTATGACCCTGCAGTGTCTTTGTTTATTGAGTGGCTGAGCTAACTCTGGAGATCTGGGGGAAAAAAATACAATATTTATTATTTAAACTGGATTCAAATCGGGGAATGTCTTGAGTTTAAATGAAATATTTGCTCATTTTCCCCCTCTGTAGTATGAACGTTGGTCAGATATAATTTTTCTCGGTCTTTCTGTGAGGATGTTGTGACATTTTGGTGATGTCATTGCATGTCTTTGAAGTTGTTAGGATTGCTATCAATGATAGTCACACGTAGTGGAATAACGTGTTCTGCTCTGCTGCTGTCTTAGCGTGCTATGGTTATTAATATTTTTTTAGCCTCACACTTCACACTAGGTGATGGATTATCTGAGCCGAGGCCAAATCTATACAGAGACTCGTTTACAATAGGAGCGCGGGCCCCGGAGTGCATGCAAGTGCGTAGCAGTGTGTAATCAATATGCTGTGACAACGCCTGACGAAATAATATGCATGTGCTGCTGGCAAACTATTTCAAGGCTTTACATGCTTGAATGATCCTATGGATGTGTTGCTTCTCAATTATATTGCAGGATGGACCAGGTGTGGGAGGGGCCAACGTGAAATCCTAGAAAATAACAGATTAGAGCGCGTGTTGCCGGTGGCAGTTGATCGTGTTTACTTATTTTGAATGTAAAAAATAGATTAATTTGCAAGAGAATTAATGACCACATAATTCATAACTGTCTTTAATCACACCTTCGCTGTGATGCATTTACAATTTGTGTTTTGAATGGTTTTTGGTATACAATCTAGGTGAAAATAAATTATTATTCCTCTCTATCTAATTGGAAGTAGTCTTTCTCTAAAGCAATTGTTTATTGTAAACTGTATGGATTTAATTGAGGCGTATCTTGTTTGGTCATTTTAAAGCAGTTGACTTTAATTCCATGTTGTTTCAAACGTACTTTAACGTGTGTCTTTTTTGGCTTCACTTCTGGCTTCTTTTGAATCTTATTAGCTTTTCTTATTATCAAATGGCAGGTAAGGCTAACTGATGTAATCAAAGGAGCCCGCGTGCATTAGTCTCAGTTGAAATATTTTATTGTGCCTCTGCTCATCACTTTTGCATTAGTCACAATTTTGGTTCAGTCGCGTGTCGCCCTGGATTTGGGTGAAACCAGGCAGCTGTTTCCTCCTGATAAGCTCTGGTAAGCCCTGACTGACAAACTCGGCATCAGGCTGCTGAATAAAATGGATCATTTGGCTGCTAAAGAGCCAGGTTTTAGCCCAGAGGAGTTTGTTGACCAAAAACAAGGCCAATAGGAAGGTGGGAAATTGACGAATGCTAATCTTACAACATTTGATGCTTGCATCATTGAGAGATGTCTACCACCACACAGGGAGTCATGTGGTTTGTTTTTTTAAACATTAACATCATTATTTTTAGATTGGCAGTTAATAAAGTCTCCAATGTTGTTTGACTAAGACACTTTTTTTCATGGAAGAGTAGAAATTCTAATTAGGTTTATTGTTTATGTTTCGATGCTGCAGTGAAAGTGTATACATTTTTATAAAATCACCCTTGAGCAGAGGCACACTCAAAATCTGAAAAAAAAAATTGAAGCATAAAAAGTAATGATTTAATAATTGATCTTTTTTTAAGTAGGACATCGCCTAAAACAAAAGCATGAGGAATTGGTTTTTCTGGAAAGCAGCTTAAAGTTGAAAACATGTTTACGTCCAATAGTTGACGAGTTTGAGTAATTTTTCAAGAAACCAATTATGTCGCGAACATGCAGCAACAATCAAACGCTGCTGCTGTGACTTCTCTTCTCTGTTTGACCGGCGCAACGGTGCTGGACTTGTTATTCCATAACGGCCGAGCTGTTTAAGGTTGGCACGCTGCCATTTTATCAAATCACCGAAATTGGCTTTTTCCACCGCAGCTCTTTTAGAACCTACAAAAGGTTTATTTCCATATGTGGAGACACAGAATCAATAATGACTGTGGTGTGATAATGAAACAATTATTTCAAAATGATTGCCTTTTGAATCGTAGATTCTCAAACTCACTTTGGGTGATGTGAGTAATTTGAGGGAACCAAGAATCACAGCAGTAACTGGTCCAAATGGCTCTGGTCCGTCTGTAAACTCCCTGTTGTGCAGTATGACAGTAGAGGTGGACAGCAGGACACTTTTGTTTCTTTGTTGTTTTGAAGCTAATAAACAGTTGAGGCACTGATTTTTTTTCCCTCCCTGCACATCTCCCATCAGTATTATTAGCAGGTGTGATTCTCGGGCCAAAAAAAAAAAAAAAGGCTCAGAGAAAGTATCCAATTACACATCTAAATGCCACAGTGGTGGTGGACATGGGTTATTGGAATATTGGCCTTAAACTTTACTGAAAAAAGTATTTTATCACATTGTAGTTGTAGTCCAAATGTGTTTGGTGATCTTCTGAACCAGTGACCTCTGACCTGCAGCCCACCATGTGACGACAGATCAACTGTCAATAATACTTTGCCCCCTGAAGTTTTTTTCAGTTTTGACAGCTGTCAGACAGTGTTATGGTGCGTTCACTCTTTCAAACACACACTGTCAGACAGTGAATGCATATTTTAAAACATTTTGTTATTTTGTGACAGTGACAGTAGGTGGTTGATGTTGGGGCGTTCCTGGGATCCAATGTGCAAGCAGTTAAAGCTAGCAAACAAAATGTGTCTACGAGATGAACAACCATGAATATTTTAGATAACAGCTCCCTGAGTATCAGCACGATCAAGGACAAGGTTTCATTGCTTAGGAAAAACATCTCAAGGTCTTTTCCGTCTTGTGCCTCTTTCAGAGGATTTTATATAATCTGTTAGCTATGCTTTTACTTATGTAGAAGCAATTGTAAATATTTCCGTTATCACTGACAAAGGCAAAAACCAAATTGATGCAAAGCCTTGTATGCGGTGACAAGTGGGTGAGTGAAGTGTAGTCTAAGAGTTTGAACAGAATCCTGTTGAAGGCGTGATGGGAGGTACTGTAAGGATAAAGTTTAACTGTGGAGTCCTGCTGGGACTGATTCAAAGCTTCTTCTCTCATCTGTATCCCTGCTACACTGACGTCTTTTATCAGTTGTTGACGTCTCACTTTATGCAACCTTACATTCCACTGCATTAATGCCTCATTATCTTTTCACTGTTCACACTGTGAGGAGAGCTGCTGTCTGGAGAGACTGAAGGAGCAGAGCAGAAAGAAAACAAATATGAAATTATGAACTATTGACCAGAGTTTCCTGTTTGCACAAGAACAAAATGATCTTATATACACCGCAACTCTCAGTGTTTCTCAGTGTGTGGGCGTGGCATTACCTTCTCCAGCATTTGAAGATCATTAATTCCGAGGTCTCTGTATTCCTGTTGGGTTGAAAGAATGCTGCAGAGACAGTGGATCAGTGCAGTAAATGGCATTAGTACTTTGTATGGCAAGTGCCCCGGGGTCTTGTTCCTAAGCCTTTTTTTGTTTTAATTTGCTGCTTTGTGTGAAGTTGCCTCACACACAGACACTTTGTCAATTTCTCACCCCCAGGTTGGATCTACTGCTATTACACTGATCTCCAAAATGGTGCGAGCTTTAGGATGAATGATAAGCAACAATCCATTGCCTTCCTAATAAGTAGTCGGCAGTTTGCAGTTAGCACACAGCTAACATCTATAACAGCGACCGTCAGTCTGTAAAGCTCAGACAGACACGCCTAATAAAACGGAGCATTAAGTTGTACACACTGAAAGAGGCAAATGCTACGGTCCATGACAGGGGAATGAGGGTGCGGGGGAGAGGGGGGTTGTTTAGCACATGGCTAAAGATACAGTGTGTCTCAGAATTCCAGTACAGAGATGAATAGAACTTCACCATTGGAGCATGAATGAAGTTAAAAGTGAGGCTGCTGCAGGGCATGATTCTGCTGATGATTCAACATAAGGAGCCCTCAACAGTCCTTGTGATTTTACCCCTATACTCGTCTTATCATAATTATATCCAATATCCAGTCCCATAATTACACCTCCCCACCCTCCAAACCGTTTTAAAAAAAACATACACTTCCTCTGAAATGCATGCTTTTGAATGCCTAACAGATGTTGATATTGTCGGGGGTTGGCTACGTGTAGCTGTTTCCTGCAGCTCAGTGGAAATGTGAATTGGACGCAGCTCATTCCTTCAACACCCACAACGTGTGTTCCTTGCACGGCAACGTCTAGATCGACATGCAGTAAATGCAAGCAAATGAAGAAACATATTTTTTCAGGATACAAGTGTGCACAGCACAGCTGCAGGTAGCCCTTAAGTTTTACTGCAGTGTCTCTGTGTAGTAAAATTAATTAGCTCACATTATGGTTTCTGGCATTTCTCTTTTTAGTTCAAATTGAATAACATTTAAAGTATATGCTAAAAATATAAAGTATTTCTGCCCTAGATGTGGACAACCTCTCTCTATAACTTATACCTACTTCCACTTAATATTGAATGTAACTTAAGATGTTAATACTATATATATATATATATATACATATATATATATATATATATATAGTATACAGTACAGTAGTATACTGTACATAGAAGAAGTCGCTGAGTATAAAAGGATGAAAGGGAGAGTGTAAGGCTAGGTGATGGCCCTCAGAGACCCTTAAAGGAAGTTGCTGCTAAAAGATGCTAGCACACACCCATCAGTTCTGTGCAGCAGTGTGTCATACAGCCTGGCCGTGGAGCTTTGAAGGAGGCTTGTTCTAGGTTAGACAGCCTCTTATTCAATAAACCATCTGTTGTGCTAAACTACTCACTCCCTGAATGACCAGAATGTTAACACACTCCGTTTTTTTTTCCTCCTCTGCAGCACCTCCAACTGTTCGCATTATACACTCAGGACACGCTTGTAATGTTGAGGAGGAGAGGCACACGGAGAGAGTGTACACAATCAGAGAAGGAGAGACCCTGGAACTTACCTGCCTGGTAACAGGGCATCCTCGGCCACAGGTTAGTAACAGTGTGTACTACATGTGTTTGGACATGTACTGGGACAGTTATTGTCTATAGCTACTTTACAGTGGGGCGTGAGGGGGCAGCATGTCAACGTCCCCGTCCATCTCGCCGTTCTTCTCTCCTTCCACACGGTCTTTTTTTTCTCTGCACCAGCCTCAGTGAGATGCAGCGGTGTCAAAAAAATGAGTCCTTTAATTATTGATGGTTTTTTTGCACTATGCACCTGTGTGTTAATAATGAAAGCTTCCAAATCTAATTAGAACGCAGGCAAAAAACAACACAAAACATCTGCCAAAACAAAATCTAATGAGTGAAAAAACAGGCCACAGTCAAAGGAACGCTGGGTCATGTATATGCACATGGGTCCTCAGCTTCTGAAAAAGAATTTTCTCTCAATCTCTTTTGTTTACTGTTGTGATCAGAGCTAATTAAAATCTTACACCATTTTTTTTTTGGTCTTATTGAATTCCTAATTGCATTTTTCCCCCATCTTAATTTATCATAACAAAAAAGTGCAAAACCACACACATTATAACAGAAAGAGCAGGGAAAGACCGCATGTTATTTATTTGCTCAGACAAAATGCCAGCTTTGTGATACATGCAGGTATAAATGTCAGCTCTGCCACAAATAACCTGACCACGTTTCATGCTGGTATTAATCTGGGCAGAATTTGCACACACTAACCTTTTTTGACATTTATTGAATGCTGCCTCCAATTGTCTTGATAACACAAATGACACGGAAATCAACACTATCTCCAACAGGACTGAGCTCATTTGTGTTCATTATTACTATTATTGCCTCTCTGATCGATGAACAAACCCATTAGTTTGAACACTTCAGGTCTGGACGCCACTAAACTCAGAATTTAATGAATTGAACAGGAAATATTGAGGCCTCCCAAATTATTAAGGGATTCAGAAACACCCTTTCCTTTTCTGTCCTCTCCCTCCTCAAGATGTCTCTGCTCTATCTGTCTGAACTTTGGAAAGTGTCATCTGTGTCCCCCCTCTGGTAGTGGAATAAAAGTGTTTATTGTTTTAAAAGCTTTCAGAAGCAGAGGAGTTTATCTGGGGTGACGGTTGGCCTGAAGCTGCTTTGGTAGACTTGCTGAACAAAAAAAAAAACACATGGTTGTATGACCCTAATCAGAAACAGACTCAAGTGGCTACAGCGATAGCAGCTTTTTTAAAGTTGTTATTAAATATTAATTTGCAGAACAGGTTCAAAGTCTGTCTTTTCCCCAAAGATATGTTTTAATAAGATGAGTTTTCTCATTATGGAAAGAGATGTGCATGTATTTCTTCATCCATCCATCTATCCATCCATCCATCCATCCATCCATCCATCCATCCTTAACGAACATCCTCACGCCCCACAATCTATTTCCTGTACAAACAAACATTCTAACCAGGAAACATGGTGACCACATAGTGAGAAAGGGTTGGAGAACAAAACACATGGGGCCTACAGCATATAGCATATACCCCCCTCCCCTCTCCCTCCCCCCCCGTGGCCCATTAAAAATAAATGGAGGAGATTACTTCTTCATGACACTATCCATCCACAACCAGGAGCCTTGAATATGTCTCCGTCTCTTCTGCTGACCATCCAATCAGAGCCAGATCTCTTCATCAGTCCTTTCACCTTCACTGTTCTCCAGCTTCATCCATTGTCTTTGATGCAAAGGAAAGACTAAAATCATCCCTGATGATAAAGACATCTGCTTCTGTTTGCACTGATATTTTTTGTTTCAGTTTTTTTTTTAATCACTGACCTGTTGCCCTAATTGTGTTAATATGAATTTAACAAATGGACAAGAACGAAGTGTGCGCTGGCTTAATTTTCGTTTCTCCCTGCACTTCTCAGCCTTCACAACAGCTCTTCTTATAAAACCCATCAGTTCCTATGAAGGCCGGGACTGTGTGATGCAGACTAGCTCAGGTGGTACACTTGCATATTTTGATATGACCCCCCGTTGCTGTTCTTGATCTCTTGATTGTCACGCTGAGCTGCACTTGGCTTCACTGCAGCCTGTCGCCATGGCCTAAAAGAGACAAAGCTAATTTAAATAACCAGTCTGTAGTTAGGGAGAAAGTAACGTCACAGCAGGCATTGTGGGAGGGTCACCAAATAGGCTTGTGCTAGCATATGATCCCTCCATTACACCAGCTACTGGGTGAATTTGAATTAGCTTTTGCCGTGACTTTGTAGCATGTGTGCTGTTGAACACCACTAGGAGTTATCTATTTATGTAGATGTTTTCCCTGTCCTTCCAAGTGTTGAACTTCCCATTGAAAAGTGTGATTTAAATGGCAGTGATTGTGTAAACTATGCACCTCTCAGTGGAACTAAATAATAAGCAACAGTTTACCTTTCATGGTCATCTTAAACATTCTGCATCAACTCTCTGCATTAAAATAATATTTGCTCTTAACCTGTAGTGGAATTGAGCATTTCATTGCCATTTAAGTTATTCCTAGATGTATGCTTACAGGCACCTCCTGAGTTTCAGCTGAGGATTATCGGAAAAGAGCAGGAGCAAATAGCCGAAGTCAAAATCCGACCAGCACTAGAAGGAGAACCAATTATCATAACCTGCAAATCTGCTAGCCCCTCTCAGATCAAGAGTATTTGCATTGCACTGAGGAAAGTGAAGAGGGTCAAACTCTTCCTGCCAGACATGCTTCAGGACTCCCCCTGTGGGTAGTGCTGCTCAAACTGCAAAATAAAAAAAAAAGTGTGAAAAAGGGAGGTATGAAAATAGCTCCAGGAAACTTGGATATTTGAAATCTCGCTGCATTCCTTATCCACTGTGGTGTGGAGGTGTAACAGACAGGGAAATATTTCTTTAGTGAATGTAAACACATTGCTTGCATGCTACAGCTAGCATATGACAAGGCAACTCAGGTTTTAATAAAATTAGAGGATATTTATATTGTTTTTGTAAGACGGACATCACAGAAGCGTTCTGGATCACAAAGACTGCTTCATGTGATGTTTTTCACTTAGTTCATATTCATAGTTTGCAGTAATATATGCATTATGTATAATGAACTCTCCCCGACCCTGTACAATCCTGTGTTTTGTTGTGGAGATAAGATTCCACACACACTGACAAAAAAGAAAGATCTTGACAGACACAGCCGTCTGGTATTAATCACTGCAGGCGATTCCTTTTAAGGTTGTGTTGGCTGTACTTCTCCACCAGTGTTGCAGATATTTTTAACTGTGCCTTAAACACATAACCCGAAATGACATCCCCCAATGCAGATCTTTTTCTCACAGATTATTGACTTACAATCATGCGTCTACTCAAATTCTTCTTTAAAGATTTATCATTATTTGCAGTCTATGAGTTACTTTTATGGAAATGTCTCTGAGTGCCATTGTACTGTGCATTTCTTCCTGTAAGTGTTATGAAGAAGACAAATGCAGGGGGAACATGACAGACACATCCCAGTTCTCTAAACTTGAACTATGATATTTAAACCAAAAGAGTGGAAGGCTTTGATTAATAAACTTTCCCGGCGTCTTAACTCTCCCCCTCGTCAACATCTATCCCCAAAGCTCCGCAAACACCCAGTGGAAGGGGGCACCATTAGCAGGTTTTGGCCACCTGCTCTTTCAATTTCCACTGTGAATCTCAGCAGGCAAAGCTGTCTGTTTGGAACAGGACCAAGCCTCAAGCTGCCGTCACCTCATGCTGAAGTCGTCTCGGGTAAAACCCCACAGATAGCGCAGCACAGCAGCGGTCTCCCGAGACGGCATCCCATCCCATCCTTCCCCACGCCGTTATATCCCCGCTCCATCTGATGCTATCTCTGCTGAATGGGATGTTATCGGGTCCTGAGATGATGCTGTCACCATGCACTGTGGAGATATTGGATTCTAATCCATAGCTATTGCATCTTAGACAGGGATGTGTGAGGCTGTGCAGGCGGAGCTAGTCCATCTGCAGCTTCCTGAGGAAGAGGGATTGAGGGCAGCTCTGTGCTCCACGGCTGGGGCTCTTTGGCCTCTAGTCCAGAGTCGCCACAGTACTGTTCATGCTGTAGGCTTTAATGAGGACAGGAGAGAGAGAGAGAGAGAGATGATAGAGAGTCAATTACAGCCTCATGTTGGAGTGTAACACTATTTCACCTTTCATTACACCTAAATGCCACGGGCTAACTAGGTCTCATCAGTTAGTGAAAGGTGCTCGTGAAGAGAATGCTGCTGAGGTCAGATTTGTGTGGAAAGGAAATCTGACAGATGTTTCACAATTAAACTGCACGTATGTGGAAAAAAAATGATGTTTACTGTGTGTACTTTTGTGTTTCTCAGATCCGATGGACAAAGACAGCCGGCAGTGTGTCGGATCGTTTCCAGGATTCCAGTGTCTTCAATGAGACACTGCACATTGCAAAGATCCTGAGGACCCAAGGAGGTCGCTACTACTGCAAGGCCGAGAACGGCCTCGGTTCCCCGGCCATCAAGTCCATCAGGGTGGACGTTTACTGTAAGTCATGAATGAACTCTTCTGGTTTTTACCATAAGACAATAAGATTAGGAAGAGCTGTTATTGTAGTCTTTGTGATGGTAGCACAAAGTAGCCTCAGCTGCACCGAAGACTCAATGAGCCACGGTGGAAATGACAGACAGAGGGCTGACACGGGGATCACCCACGACTCATACTCTTTAAATGCTAAGATACGATTAACGTATCTGTCTAACCGCACAATAAGAAGCAATAGATTAGTGGCAAATTTTCAGATTAATTTGTCATTTCTTTAAACAGGTCCACATCAGTTTCCCATTTAAATGGCGTCCTTGCGTCTGGCCTTGCACAACCGTCTGCGTGAACTTCATTAGCCAGCGCTGTTATGTCTTACATCCAGGAAACGCACGTCATTCCTCCTGAGCGCTGTTAAAGCTGTCCCCGGTGGCTAAATATAATTGATGAGCCGCTGCAGCATGAGCTATTTTTAGAGGTTTATTGCTACATTTTGAAATTAAAAAAACAGTGTTTAAGTGCTGGACCTCCCAACAACAACCCTTTATATAAGATAGCCTCCTTCTTATGTACCTGGTGTGAATATGTCTATCATTACTTAAAGAAATGTAGAGAAAACTAGAAAAGTGGGTAATGTCAAAGGTCACTGTAATTGCTATATTATATTGCAATTTTTTTATTTATTTTTTATTCAGTGTACTAGTGATAGAGAGAACTGTCCAGCTGCCTGGTGCTGATGTGGAGATCTGCTTTCTGTGTTCACTGAAAGGGTAATTTCAAGTGGAACGGCTTCTCAGAATATATTTTTACTTTTTAGTTGGCGGTGAGCAGCAGCTCTTGTTTTAATGCAATTAAATGAATAATGACGCTGCTGAGGTGCAGACGGTAAAAGTTTGCTGTGTGCAGTTTTCTGTAAGCAGAAAAGAAAGGGAAAAAAGGACAATTAATGGTAATAACTGACCTCTGCGGTCCAGGGGAGCTAATTTTAGCAGTACAGCCAGCACAGAGGTAATGTGTTTCCAAACTCAGAAGTCCATCTAAGCACATTTTGTACCTGCTGACACCTCAGTTGTGTTTGTCCACAGTTGCGTCT